ACATTTCGAAGATCACACAAACTTGGTGGGAATGTGGTGGAGTACAAAGGAGTAGAATTAATAAATATTGTATTGATTCTCCTCCTTCGTACTCCACTCCATTGTATATAATAGTAGCTCCTAGGAGAAAGTTCAGCGTAGATAGTGAAATCAAGCAAACTCCAGATTATGTTTAAAACCATCCATAGACTGGCTTCTGCAGCACTCAAATTACTGTATCCTGTGGAGTTTTTGTTCATCTCAATCTGCATCTATCCCAATATCCACCAATACTCTTCTCAATCCTTAACTAGGTTGGTTTTGAAGGCATCTGGTGGGATTCAGCTCGAAGTAGCCACAACTCTGAGTGTGTGTGTGTTTGAGAGAATGCGTGTATGAGTTGGGGTAGGTGAGTGCTTCCAATTCCGGTTCTGCTTAAGTCTTCCCCTCCCTGCTCCCTTAAAAAGAATTAAGCAAAAAGACTTAAAAAATTAAGAACTTGTGCACTAGCTTTAGTTTTAAGACTATGAGAAATTCCAGTGTTTATAATGGTTAATTCCTAAAATGGATTTTGCATTCAAGCACAAAGTATAAACAAACGCGTTGAGCATTTAAAACATTGAAAAGAATACAGAAAACAATCTGCAGAAGCTGGTGAGAATCAATCTCCTTGAAGAGGTCAAAGAGGTGACTGATATGACAAGGAGACCTTTGGAATTTCATTCTGTGAACTGGATAGTCTGAATTTATAGGGCTTGCAAAACCCAGAGAGGAAGCAATAACTGAAATAAATGGTAACATATTCCTTCATAGAATATTATGATGTGCTGGTTACCCCTCAAACAGTACGATAGTAGGTATCCTGTGCTAACAAACACCTTGAAAACAGCCATTGCCAAATGTGCACTTGAAACTGTGGAACATCCATTCTGTGTTATATTAACACATATATTCTCTCAATCACAAGCTATGTGGTTTTAGCTGGTTAAACTCCAGCAGTGCCTCAATGTATTCTCTGGGGTACTCAACCTTTACCTTTTACTAACCAGCACCTAATATTCTCTGGAATTAGTTAAGCAGGATGTGTCCCTCCTATAAAAACTATCAAGTAAATGCCCAATTTACCTGAAGGATTATTGGCAAAGACACCAGGTGAAACTCTTTTCAAATAGTGTTATGGGATTCATTTCCATACACCTGAAATTACAGATGAATCCATTTGTAAAATAATAGTAACACAATGGCTAAGTTCAGGAGGCATGTCTAAAAGAAACTGAGTCTAAAGGACATTTCACCAAAGCTTTGTCAATACATCCCATTATCTATTTATCTACAATGAGTTTAAAGCACGGTGAAAAGACCCCGGTGCAGACAAATGTTTCCATGCCCATCTCACAAAGTATTGCAAGTTATATATCATTCTGTTCAAGAAGACCTTGTTGATAATGATCTATGTCTTACATACAAAAGGAACTGTTGCTTTGATTCTGCAGGTTGCATGAAAAAGTGTTCAATAGTTTAATTATTCATCGATTGTTGTGCATCCCAGGTAGTGAGCTGTGGAAGAGATCAAGTTGGGTCGAATAATGCGTGCTACATCAAGTGTGAAATTGAACTTGAAAAAGTGATAACGTTCAAAGAAAAAATAAATGCTTAAGTTATTACATAAATGAATCATTCCAGATTCTGTTCTCTTTAGTAAATCATTTGTTTCTCAGTTTCTTTATCTTTCTTGTTAGTTTTCTCCTTGTTTATTTGTTCTTGTTTTGTTATCCTCTCTGTGACTCTATTGCGATCTCTCTATTTCTCGGGTGCTCTGCCTGTTCATCTCGTTTTGTCTCTCTGCTGCTCTCTCTTTCTTGCACCTCTCTATTTATCACTCTCTATTTTTTGGTCCTATTTCTGTTTGATCTTGTCTGTGTTTCTCCCTCTGTCTCTCACTGTTTTCCTCTCTCTTTCTTTCTGGACCTCTCTTTTGCTGTTTCTATCTCTGTTCATCTCTCTGGTCCTCTCTTTGTTTCTCTCCCTGACTCCCTTTCTCTCTTTCTCTCTCTGGACCCCTCTGTTTCTTTCTCTCTGATCTTCTATTTTTATCCCTCTGCTTTTTTATTTCTTTGTTCCTCTCTTTAATTCTTCACCTGAATTTTCTGATTCTCGTGTTCTCTATTCGCTTCTATCTTTGGCCCTCTCACTGTCTACTTCTGTGTTTATCTAAAACTCGCTCTTTATTTCTCATCTCTTTCATCCTGGTAATTCAAAATCAGAGTTATCTATCAATCATACCGGTTTTAGCGCTTCTATTTTCTGTAAGGAGCACGACTCCTTGTACTGTTCCTCTCTTTCTCGCCTTCATACCTTTGAAGAGGTGTGAGATTGCATTGTACTTATTTATATTCAAATGCACATCTTGAGATTAAGGAATATAATTAATGTCAAACACTGCTGATTTACATTAACAATCGACTCTGTGATTCAGTGTAAATATTACTCAAAATACTACTTTTAAAAATTTACTGTCACTTTCCAAACTTTTCTTAAAATCTCGTCCAAGGACCTTTGCAGTTGTTAGTTATTGATAAGACAGAGGCTCCTAGGGCAGACCTTTCCTGTAACACAGGCGAGTCACCTTCAGCTGTCTTTGGTTCAGTTGCCCAGTTTGTTTACTAGTCAAGTCTAGTAAAGCTAGTCATGCAGTGGTTTACCAATCTGCTAGAGGGCAAAGTGGCTGAAAGCTCGCCCACTGAAGGTGGGGCGGAACGAGCAGGAGGCATGAAGCAGGCTGGAGTTGGCGAAGTTGAGGAATGGTTGGAGAAGCAAGGTTGTGGGAGATTGCAAAGACAGGGAGGTGCAAGGCCATGAGGCATTTGATGGTGAGCATGAGGATCTTCAACTTGATCTGCTAGGGGATAGTGCAGCTGGATCAATATGGGGTGATGGGCTCACAGCGCAGGAGAGGTTACAGGCTGCAGAGTTCTGTAGGGTCTTGAGTTGGGAGGGTGGAGCTGGGAGGTCAAGCAAGCAGAACCTTGGAAAAGTCACGTGTCGAGGTGACAGTGGCCTGGATGCGGTTTCCGAATTTGAATTGTGCACTGCTTTCTCATAAATGCAATCAAGAAGACTTATTCGCAAACTGATTTTGTTTCTCAGTCCAGTCCAGTCATAGGATATGAATTAACATCAACAATCTCAACCATCAACAATCTCAGTTTTGTTTTCCAGTGCCACTAATTTAATGAAATTTTTTTTTTAAAAAGTGTCTGCAAAAATAACCTCCAGATTACTTGGTCATCTATCCCAAGGTTGTTTGTGGGACCTTCTGGTGTAAAATGACTGCCAGCTTTGCCTACAAATACAGATGCTAGAGTTGGTAGTAATTTCTTGTGAAGCACATTTTGATGCTATAAGGAGCTGTACAAAATGCAAACTCTTTTTCAATTTTCAAACATAGCATGACTAAGGAGAGGTTCACAACACACAAAGGATAATAATAATATTATCACATCTTCGAGATGTCTCAAAGCATTTCACACAATATACTGTAAAGTGAATTGACTGTATATTTTATGGGTGAAACATGGCACCCAATTGCACACAGCAGTGTCCCACAAACAGTGGTGGATTCAGTGACCAGATTATTATCATATGTATTTATTTATTTTGAAGGAATTATAACCTGAGGGACGCAGCATATCAACCAAATTCAACTTTTGTCACTGAGAATAAATTGTGCCTAACATAAAGGGTCAGTTAGACAACAACAACTTGCATTTATATAGCATCTCCTTCATGTAAGGTAAGGTCTGGGAGTACTTATCAATGATGGGGTTGGATGTCAAGCAGGGAAACGTAGGAAGATTTTCTTCTTCTGGACGATTTTCAGAATATTGAATCATTTGTCAACGGGTGGCTGTTTGATCAGAGATGATTAAGGGAGAAGAGGAAGCATTTCAAAGAGATTTAGATCAACCCCCATGTAGAGTAAGGTTGAAAGAGCAGGGAATTGGTATTAGGAAGAATACTTCAATGTAGGATCCAGCAGCAATGCCAGTACAATGGGTCAAATTATTGCCTACTTCCACCTCAAACACTGCATTTGGCAATACATTCCACATCCTAACAATGCTCTGTAATCTCCCAATCTTAGTGTTCTGGCCAACATTCATCCCTAAAATAAAATTGTCACTCATTTCATGGCTGTTTGTGGGACATCACTAAGCGCAAATTGGCTGCCACATTTGGCTTCAAATACAGTCACTTCACTCTACACTAAATCCTGCAAAGTGCTTTCAGATGTCCCGAAACCGATTATATTAAATGCAAGGATTACTATTGATGAATTAAGTGTAGTGTTCTAACATTTGTAGTAAATGATTTGTTCCCCTCACCTTTGCCATTCAGCGCCTTGGGACATCTTCCCAACGTGAAAGGTGCTATATAAATGTAAATTTGTATTGTATTGTACTTTCATGGGTTGTTCAGGTAAGCTTGCTTCTCCTTTATTTTAGTATTTTCTTTGGCTTTCTGGGTTGGTGCTTGGAGCTAAGTGGCTGGTGGCTCCCAGGCCAATCTCGGTGCATTTGCAAGCAGCTGCTAGAGATACCTGTACCTCTCAGGGATGACTCTCACTTATGTTTGCCCTGTTCTCCGCAGGCACATGGCTCAACACTGCTCTGATTAACAACTGAAGACAGCGAGACATTATACACATATTATTATTTTAAATAAAGGAATGTAAAACAGACAGTTTAAGAAAATAGAAACCTTTCTGTTTATTTCTCTCTGATCTTCTCTCTAATAAAGGATTTTCTTCCAGTGTCCTGGCCAATAAACTTCCAGATAAAAATGGACATTTACTTCATAGCAGTTTTGTGGGATATTACTGTGTTATTGCAAATTAGCTGCTGCGTTTGCCTATAAATTCACAGTTCCTACACTTCACAGTAAGATCATGTGAAGTGCTTTGAGACATTTTGAAGATGTGATAAAACAGTGCATGAAATGCAAGGATTATTATTACATACTGTTGAATCAATTTAATACTTTACTAAATAAAAAAAAGTTTTGATTACATATAAAAAGACAAAGAATTGCAGATGCTGGAAATCTAGAATAAAACATAGATACGCTGGTAATTTATTAGCAGGTTAATGAGCATATAAATGAGAAAGACATATTCGTTAACATACTTATAATTTACATAGCACATTTCATGTCGAGAGGATGTCTCAAAGTGCTTGGCACTGCTGGCTGGGCAGCCAAACAGCGGTGAGAACCGAAGTGGGTAGGGAGGGGAAAGTTGACCAAAAGAGGTAGGTCTTGAGTTGGGCTTCAAATGAGGGGAGGAAGGGAGCGAGTTGGAGGGACTCTGGGATGGCAGTCCAGAGATTGGGTGAGGGGGGTGGGGGTGCAGAATGGCTGATGGTGGGAGGGCAACAAGGACATGACTCTTCATTGAATCTCATCAGAACTCGGAGGAAGGGTCATGTGTTAAACATTTATTAATCGTTGTCTTCCACATGCTCATCCAGCTGCTGTGGATTTCCAGCATTTCTAGTTTTATTTCAGTGATCTTTCTTGGACATGCTTAACCTGCTCCTCGTAGGCTTCCTCCACTGAAATCCAGCGTTTTCCATGCACCAGACAGCAAAGTGATGGCAAATGGTTGCACACACTACCAATGATGAAGAAGCTTCTGGGTTTGGATTGGTCACGAGTTAAAAAAGACTTGCTAGCCGTCTGTCATACAGTGCATTCTACATCATCTGGCTCAATGTTGGGCTTGCGGTTCATCACATTGCTTGCACTGATCTCCACAAACTCCGATAATGTAATGGTTTTAGTCTCTTCTGCAGACACATGAGACTTCTTATTGATCTTGGCAAATGACAAACATATTTCTGCGAAGGTTTGATTTTTGGTTTCAGGTAAGAGAAAGTGCAGATATATTGCTCCTGCCGCAGCAATTCCAGCAAACACCAAAAAGCAGAATGACCCCAAGGCACTCTGTATAAAACATATATATAAATAACATTAATAAGCAAGCATGTAAGGGCCATTGCAATGTGAACTGAATTAGTGGACAAAGATGTTTTTAGCTCCAAAGCTGACTTGCCTTGTTAGTTAGGTAGAGAACCTAATACCTGCACCATTGTGTGTTTGAAAACACTGTAGATACCAAGTCTCTGCATGTTTAGGTGTGCATCTCCCTTCCTAATGATTTGCCTCTCTAACCGTCTGTGTGTGTGTCACTTTCTCTCTCTCATTGTGTACTTACCTGGATCGATCTCCACCTTGCGTTACTGGTACACAGACCTGCTTGGATGAATTGTGAACCTGATAACCTAGTGTTGGAATTGATAAACCTCACTCAGCAATTGGCCACAGGTTAAGATAAGAGCATTAGTCTGGAATGAAGGAAAAGCCATTCAGACGATCAATCTTCTGACCGTGGTAAATAATTGCGGGTGAGGCAATGCCCTGTAAAATTTAACCCTGATCGTTAAACTAATTTAGCATATCAATCTAACACTGCAACCTACGATGTTCACCTCTGACCACGTCTATTTGAGAGATGAGATTTTCATGGTCCAGTGGAATTACTATATTCAGTAAAGTATTTGATCAACTACGTCTGTTTATAATCTATTTTAGATAATTAATTAGCCGTAAAATTGACGTCATCATGATTTATAATGATATGTATAAGATCATGCTTCACTCACACTTAATCTTTGACCCAAAATTTATACCAGTTTCAGTCATTTCTTCTCGCACCTCATTCTTGTCTGGTTCCAATCCTGCTTGACCCAGCTCCTCCACTTTCCCTCTTCCAATGGTTTCTCCTCCCGCCCTCGCATAGTCACCTGTGGTGTATCTCAGGGCTCTATCCTTGACCCTCTCATCTCCATACTCTCTCTTGATGACATCATCCGCAGATACAGAGTTAACCTGCACCTAAGTCTTGTCTTTCCACTTCTCCAATGATGTTCTATCCACTTTGACTGTTAGACATCAAGGCCTGGATGAGCCATTATTCCTTACAAATCAAGGCAAGGAATTGTCCAAAATTCTGCACCATTTTAAATTTTAAGACAAAATGGTCTGACAGGCTAAGGTAGGTGACCATTTGGGCCTATGTTGCATATATAGATCAGTAATATTATTATTATTATTAAGATCAGTAATGACAATTAGTGCACAATGCAACTGACATATTCAATGAGTCCTGATGGATGTTGGTTCCTCACTGCATGAACAAAGACTTGCATAGTTCTCATTGCATTGTGGTGAAGGAATCCAAACCCAAACCATGAGGGCAAAATGTGTGGGACAGGTATCAGTTCCAACAAGTACCGCTTGGGCAGTCGCCATGCTTTTCTGGAGAAAGGCTGCTCAGATAAACATCTGGACTGGTCCAAAGTTCCCACCTACGTTGTTTCCCTCCTCTTACCTCCCCTTTAAACTCAAGAAAGCTGCTCCAAGACACACACCAGGCTTTGCTGCAACAGCCTAGTTGAGGAGGATTCCTTGCTGTAGAGAATATATAATTCTATAAATATATGTTTTTTACGCAACTGTTTGGTAAGTGTGAGGGGTAGGCTGGGCAGGTTAAGGAGGTTGAAGCTACAGGCACAAAGACATTGACAGGAGCCAAGGAGTATGGTTTCTGTCTTGTCAACATTCAACTGCAGAAAATAATTTTATAAGTAATATATAATTTTATAAACATATGTTTTTCTCTTTACATAGGGGGAGTACTTCAAATGGGAAATACTCTTATTTTTGTAAAGTTTGTAAAAAAAAAACTTTTATTCCTAATGTGCTCCATCTACATGACTAAGATTAACAAAAACTACTGATCCTTGAAATCCAAGGTTTGACAGCAAATCGACATTTATCTTTTCAGGATGCATTGTTTTGATGGAGAGTCTACAATGTCAAAATGCTTCATAGGCAAGTGATGTAGAGTCAGGTTGGTACACACAACAGCTACAAGATACACAGCAAGATTCCACAAACAGCTGTGGAGTGAATGAGCAATTTACCTGGAGGATGTTTGGCCAGGATGCTGGGAGAATCTCCACACTCTTTTGAAATAATAGCAGATGGGACCTCAGTTTAATTTCTCATCCGAAGAATAGCACCACCGAAAATGCAATGCTCTCCTGGCACTTCATTGTAATGTCAGGGTCATGGTCAGGGATTGGATGAGGGGTATGAAGGACAGCTGAGATTGAATCTGATGTTTAGATTACGCAACTGTTTGGTAAGTGTGAGGGGTAAGCTGGGCAGGTTAAGGAGGTTGAAGCTACAGGCACGAAGACATTGACAGGAGCCAAGAAGTATGGCTTCTGTCTTGTCAATATTCAACTACAGAAGATTGGTGCTTAATGTCTGATGAGCAAGTGGCCAAAACGTCAGCGGGCCTTGAATTCCAACTGGAGAAGTAGATTTGTGTGTCATACGTTTACATGTGGAAGTTGATCCTGTGTCTACTGATGACATGACTGATAGGGAGCATGGAAATGATGAAAAGAAGGGGGACAAGAATGGAGCCTTGGGGTACCCTGCAGGTGACTGGGCGGGGGTGGGAAGAAAAACTGTTTGTGGAGAGGAAGTGATGGCAATTGCCTAAGTAGGGTTCAAACCAGGACTGTGCGGTTTGGCTGAGGTGGATGGGGGAGGAGAGGAGGTCGAGGAGGATGGCATGATCAACTGTATCAAAGGCAGCGGAAAACTACCAGGAGGACAAGGAGGCAAACGGACCATGGTCAGAGAGGGAGCAAACATCCTTTGTGACTTTGACGAAGTAGTGTGGGGCCAGTGTAGGAGCTGTGGCAGAAGGAAAGGGTGATATTGAAGGCGCGAGGGTGGGAGGTGCTAAAGGACTTGGAGAAGGAATACAAGGCAGCCAAGCAGTTTCCAGGATGGCCTGGGAGTTGAATGCAGTTTTCTCCTGTGTAAAATGAGGTATGAAAATGCTCGAGCCACATCTGGCTGCGATCCATGAGGCTGATTTTGTGCCATCTGAGCACGAGCTTCCGGGTTTTGGATTTAAGGAAGTGGAGGTGGCTGTTATAACAGGGGAACAGGTGGGCTTGGAGACAGTCCTGGATTTCAGGAGGACAAGGGAATTGAAAGTGGAGGAGAGACGATCATTTCGCAGCTTGACGGCTGCATCAAGATCACTGCAGGTGGAAGGTCAGAGGGAGAGAAGATCTGAGGATGAGAGGGTGTTTGTGAGGGACTCAAGGAGACAAGAGTGCTGGCAACTGAGTAAAGCTTGCTGTCCCCAGAAGCAATTCCCTTTTGTGACTCTGAATTTTTACAAATTTAGAAAACCCTGCATTCTAGAGCACATTGAAAGCAATTGACTTGTGTAGTCAATTGCATTCAATGTGGCTACATTAAATCGTGAACAATTGGCTGCTGGAAACCTTTTAAAATGATGGAGGTACTTGAAACGTTAGTCCTCAAAATTGGGGTTGATCACTATCATTAACCTTTGAAATGGGCATCCACTTACCCAGTCACCTAATGCCAGGGAGATACATTGTTCTTGAGGACATTAATGGAGTGCTTATGTACTTATGTTGCAGCATACCTCAGACCTGCTTCTATTTGAATGGCCTCTGAATATTATGAGGCTGTGGTTGCTAGGATCCCATCTCACTTAGGCCAAACCATGTGCTGTAATTATGCTGTAAGTTGTGAGTTACGATTTTAACATCAACAACAAATTGCATTTATATAGCACCTTTCACATCAAGAGGATGTTCGAAGGCACTGGACAATGAGGGGTTTGTGTCTGTGCAGCGTGTTGGGATCAGAGAGGGATGGAGGGCAAGGGCGGGTGAAGGAAGAAAGATGTCCAAAGCCACGGTCAAAAAGAAAGGTCTTGAAACAGGCTTTGAAGGAGTCAAGGGATGGGGCGAGGTGGAGGGGCTCCAGGATAGACTTCCAGAGTGTGGGGGCAGAAAGGCTGAATGCCCGACCACCGATAGTGTAGCAGACAGGATGGGGGACATGGAGCAGGTCAGTGCCGGCTGAACGGAGGAAGCAGACAAGTCATAGGTCGCAGAAGTTGGGCGAAGCAAGACCATGGAGGGCTATACAGCTGAGGACAAGGATATTGAACTCAATCTTCTGGGGGAATGGGGATCTAGTCAAGCTGGGATAGTGGGGTTGCCCAGAGATGCAAATAGATTGCTATACATGTTTCGCCCACAAGATACACAGTCAATCCACTTTGCAATATATTCTGTAAAAACTTTGAGATGTCTCAAAGACGTGATAAAACACTATATGAAATGCAAGGATTATTATTATAATATTGTATATGAAGCTCTCTGTCTTAAAAGCTTAATACTTTCTTCTGTAATACTCACAAGATTGGTTAGGATGAAGAATCCCTCCAGAATACTCACCCGACCAATCCTCCTATCACTGGAACACGCTACTTTTTAATTGCCTTTGCTAACTGGAAGGTTACCCTTGATATTCTCAGACTTGTTGATTGCTGTAACTGGAGCCGTAGCACACACTCAACTCATTTCCAAAGTGGAACATATTGATACCAAAACCATCAAATAAAAAGAAGCAATACCCTTTCTGAAAACAGAGACTGGCATTTCAGTTCTTGAGGAAACTCACCTGACTAAGCAACACATCTAAAGCTCACACAGGGTTTGGTGATGTACTTTGGTTGCAGACAGACTCTGGATTTTAAAGTGAGCCTGATTTGGTTTGCTGCCTATACATTGGCCACCAAGAACAAAGTTCTCAGAAAAAAGGTATATAAGATACTAAAAGGCATTAAGAAAGTAAACCCAGAACAGTACTTTCAGACACACAAAGGCACCAGAACAGGGGAATGAGAGGCAAGTTTAGGAAAGATAGCAGCAAGCATTTCTTTCCACAGGGGATAATTAACATATAGAACAGGTTACTAGGAAGGATGGCAGAGGTCAGGACACTGGATGGATTTAAGAAATAGCTTGATG